ACATTATGTAGTAATCTCATTCCATGTCTTAATCAATAGATAATGACTAACAGTAATTACAAACAATTTAATCATAAGCAATATCTATTTTCAGATATACGATGAATGAAAATTTCATTATTTTCAATATTTAATAAGTTTAATCAAATTATATTCTATTTTACAAAAGTTAGTGTTTAATTTATTAAAATTCTATCAAAGTGTATATTTTTTGAATTTTTTTCTTTGTTGAAAAATCGCTTAATTATGACTCCGTGATCTAATCTTTTAAAGTAAGCTTTTATTCTGTGAATGTGGGGAGCAATTGTTGAACAAGAAATAAACTGTATAGTACGAAAGTACATAAATGAATTGATTATATAAACTTATAATATTAAGAGTTTATAAATAAATCAAATTTTTAGTTAATATATTTGTTGTTAAGTTTTGATGGTGATTTACTTATAACCATGAACATAGTTTAGTACTTATTTGAGAACTCCAAAAATTTCATAATATCTCTAAGACTAGAATAATTTGCTCTGGTAGGTCGCTGTCTAGTAAAACGTCTACACGAATTCACAAAGTCTAGTTAGGTTTTACCAGGTTACATTTTTTGCAGAGTAGGTGACATGTCCGACCACTAGTAAAATGATGAATATACTAAGCAGCAGTTCACTCTGTTGTACATAATAACTGTGAAAGATATGTCTCAAAATAGAGTATAGTTATAGGTTACTGGTTTTTAAACATAACCGCCTTTGAATCAATGTCTGTGTATTTTGAGACTAATGAGTGAGCGGTGATGAGGCTAGACATAAAGCATTAAGTAAGGATAACAAATCAATTAATTAGACAGTGAACCTTAATTGAATGAGGTTATTGAGACATGTATTACGTATACTCAACGACCACCTACATCAACGCACGATGATGGGTGGTGTGATGCTGTATTGAAATGCTGGAAGTGCTTAAATCAAGACGTAACATCAGTCACTGACTTTTGAAATAAGTCGTGCAGGTAAATGAAAACTACCTGGTTAAAACAACGTGACTGTTGTAACAAGTGGTTGAGATATTGGGTGACATCGATCAGAATCATCATACAGCAGAACATCATCATTTACTCTTTGTTTTATCTTAGATCCTAAACTTCTTAATTATCTTATACAATACTTTACAAGAATATATTTTTTCTTTTAGAGTCGAACCTTCTGTCTCCAATTTTCTCAACCACTATTACAGTCAATAACAATCGGGTCACACAATTGGTTTTAATGGGACAAAAATCCTTCAAAAAGGTTTTAACTTTCATAAAAAATGACTAACAGTTGAAGCTCTACATATATGGGCAAATCCAAACAGTAGTAATAGGAGAGATGGAATACAAATAGCTGTCCCACGGCAACTAATAATTATTAAGTAAACCTGAACTCCTTATTGCTTTTTTATCTATCTCTTATTATCTGAATAATAGCAATTACATTCAGCGGTTCTAATCAGTTGTCTGATCCGAACATGTTAAGCAATTAACTGGAATAATAAAAATAACACAAACATTCATTTACAAATACATCCTCCCTCTTTGAAATCATTCCTTTATTTTGTTTATTTAGCTTCATTTTATGCATACTGTGACACATTTGAATAATATAAAAATTGTATGTTTTCTTAAAAATTCATCGACCAGAGACAACATGTAGGGAATGAAGTTTCTTCGCATACCACTTAAGTATATATACAATCTGTTGTCTTAACACCTTTCGTTTCACGCCACAAGTTTCTTGAACACTAAAGCAAATACCTACTTTAAGCATTGTTAACGTTGATTGAATGACCTATTTAGTATATAGTGTACCGAAGAACTATGTGCCTAATTATATTAAATAATTTTGATGTTTGATTATATTTCTTTGAAAAAGCTTGCATTAGATTGCTAAGCAGAATTTCGGATTTACTTCAAATTCATTCACTGAAATTCTACAAAAACATTCTTCCTCTTTAATCTCACGAATAATACTGTTATCACATATGCTGAACTGATATCTCGCTCGCTAATGTGGTGCGGTAACTTGAATTAATGTACATATGTGCCGAATTCTGTGTTGCATAAAACTGATTGACTGTAGATTCGTTGAAACAAGCTCAACAAAACTGGAGACAATAAATCGTTCAACCGCATGCTGTTTTACAATAACAGATAAAACAAGTAAAGAAAAGCAAACCCATAATTAGTTTTCTAAAAATTAAACAAAAAGATTTCAAAGTAAGGTATGATGTTATAGTAGATTTTAGCAGACGTTCCGCAAATTTTATTTAATAACACTCGCTGTTGCCCAACGATGACGCTTAAAACCTACTTAGTGATACATTTAAATTTCGTCAACCTAAGGCAGTGCAACTGCTCAAGTAATTAAAGTACAAAGAAAACGGTTATGACAGTACGTTTCAAAGATTCTAACGAGTATTTGAGCGATATTTTAGTTGTTATAGTTGGAAAGAATGATTCAGAAATTTAATATTCTATTTTCTTCACAAGACTTAATATTGTTATCATGATGTTCAAAAACCAATCATTAGTTATCAAAACACGAGCTAAATAACTTAAAATTAGGACCTTGCTGTGATGAACACGATTATAACTATCAGAATAACAAGACTTTTACATCATCATGTTTCAAACATTGGTCTTAAAAGTTGTGTATATTGGTGTCTTTCCAAACAGCGGAGAATAGTAATTAAATGTATATTTTTGTTGTAAAACGGTTTTTACTTGAGCTGCCAAACTCTACATAATTTTAGTAAGATAAAATCAACAAGTCGTAAAACAGAAGTGTAAAAACAATGGTTTTAGCAGCATCGAGAAATTGAATGGAATAAAAATCTCAAAATGGATGAAATTGGTAAATAAACATAGGTGATCGTAATGTATCTAATGTAAAAAATTTCAAAAATGATGGAGGCTTCTGAGTCAGTACAAACTAATTTGAACCATATTACAGAGTCTAAAAGCATGTAATATGGTTATTTCGTAGACCGTGTAACAAAATTAGAGGATACAGATCAACACTCGTTGACTTAATTTACTGAAATTATTTCTAACATTTATTGTGCTAGCCGCCATTTTACATAGAGCAAATCATGAATAAGCTAATGTTGAAGTTGCACATTTACATTGTTGAATGTCAGCTCAGTAGTCTAGAAGTTAGGCGCTTGGGCACAAGCCCAAATAACCTGGGTTTGAATCTCGCGTGTGAAATCGTGGATGCACACTGCTGAGACGTCGCATACTGTGATCGAACTCCATCCAATGCTTCCAGATTTTCACAGTGATATAGCTTTAATTAACTCATGAACTTAACTATTAAATATCTAACTCACATTAGTCAGTAAACATTACCAACTTCATCATCCAATACTCCAAATTTGTATAAACACAATAACTGCCAATTTAAACCGGTGGTTATATTACGCAAAGGCAACCCTTTAATTTTATATTTGTTACTTATACATATTATCTCTCAAAACCATATTTTACAGTAGAAAACAACCTAATACAGGCTTTTTTGAAGTACTTACATACTGTAATATACAGAAGTCTTTCTGACATTACAAAATGAGCAACCCATCAATCACTAAAACAAAGTTACTCATTCGAGTTAGTAATTTGTCAGCTGATGGAGATAATCAGACTTAATTACATCCGTATCTCCAACTCTAATTATTATCTTTCTGATTGAGCTTGTAAAAATTAACTTACAATTAGTTCAATCTATTAACATTCCACGCTGCTCTTTTGCCAAAGATTAACTGTAAGCTTAGCTTTGGTAAAAGTTACAAATTGGATGTAAACTTTTCACTGATTTTGTCCCCAGATAGAAGAGAATAAAGGAATATCCACACAAAAACTGAACTGTTTGTCGTTATGTCTCACTGATTGATTCCATTGCTTTATTTGAGATTAAATTAATCATTTGCTTGTCATTACTATGGTTTTGCTTTCCAGTAATTTTCAATATGAAATCTTCGTGATAGACGTAAGCAAATATCTATTGTAAACTACTGTTACTTCCATTTTCATCTCCAATTTTCCTTGACTACAACAGCTCATAAACGTTTTTAGACATATTATTTACTTTGATAAGCCCTGAAACTCAGTGCCCTCAAAACTTACAAAGAGGTTTCAAAACTGTTGAGGTCTTTAGACCTTCTGTTGATAAAAGTGAACATACTATATGAGCTTTTAACTTAATCGCTGGAAGCGCTACAGATGTTGAAAACTCGTTACTTTCCTTAGCCATAAATAACGGAAAACAAGACTTCGTCCTAAAATCTGATAGTTTTACTTTATTGTCTTACTGCTTGACTTGATAAGACCTCGTACGACAAATGTGTATCTTCGTACAGCTCGTTTGAGTTACCTAGTAAAAAGAAGGAAAACACCAAGCCAAATTGTCAGGGCTAATTGGTGAAAAAAAGTCATTCCCTGAACTTTTACCATGACTATGTCTAAGATCTACGCCTAACATCTATGCCTAAGCTCTTTTTGGCTGCACATGCAACTTCATAAAATGTCTTTGAACTCTCCCAGAAATTCCGTAGCCATTTACGTGAAGATGTACGACAAAACAAAATTTAAGTGTCAAATATAAAAAATTTATAGATTTTCAGCGAAAGTTTCAAAAAACACTTATACTACAGAATATCAATTTGGTACGAAACGCTCGAGTTTCGAATATCATGCTATGATAATTAAAACATATACCGTGAGATGAAAAGTCACAGCACGACCAGTATAATAGAAAGCAGTGTTGCAATAAATTCAAAGTTAAACATTAAAAAAATTTTGTGTTGCTAGAGAAGCGCGTTAACGCTCTGAAAATCCTCAAAATCCGGAGATTGTAATTGAACTAACGTACTTATTCACCTAAAGTAAAACCATTTTTGCGGTTTGAAAATAAACTTTAAACCGTCAACATGAGTCATTAAACAGTTAATTAAAGACTTCAGTATGAACTCACTAATATTAACGCCATTTACTTCTACTACGTAATCACCATCTCTAAGACCAGCCGCAAATGCAGGTGATTGTTGATCGACCTCGCTTATATAGTGCCCAACTTTTCCCTTCGTTGCTTGTAAGCTAAATCCATAACCCGAATAATTTTCCCACTTCTGAAGAGCGCAGAGTCGAGCGCAAAATTTTCTAGGCATTTTGAAAAAGTCATATAACGCGCTATTGACACTGACACTCACTTAAATTATTAACGATTGTTAAAAACAAAACATGCCTCTTCAACAATACAAACTTTGTCAGGCACTCAACTATGACAGATGCATAAAATAACTCACGTTTGAAGTGCTTTTCTACCATATACAACAAATATAAACTAAACGCTAGAAGTTCTTAATCAATATGTTAAAAGAATAAGCTGAGTATTTACGAACGTTTTACCAAACACACTGCGCTTGATTTCAGTGGTGGAGGATGCAATCAGGTGTTCTTATTTCATATTTTGCTGTACGACATATTAGGTTCCATTCAAAGTTACGAAAATTTTCAAAGAAGTTTAAAACCAATATAACAATTATATTATCTTCATGTACTTCAAAAATAATCTGCTCTTAATAATGTAGCGGTAAATAATTCCCCAAAATCAAATAGCTCTGTAAGTTTTCGACATTGGATGCTGACCACAGTTTTAGTGGACTCATGTAGCTGAAGGCGCTCGGTCAAGCATCCACACCAGATCACGTGTGGGAACGCCGTGCTCAACATCTGCCTCAATCGCTAGCCAGATTAGTGCAAACGATCCTCGATATATTGATAGCTCATCAAATATATCTTCGATCTCCTCGCTTCTGTCTTTTGATTTTACTTGGTGGGTGCGCTTCGTATTAGAAGGTGTTACTGGTTAAAGCGTTGTCAAACTCCGAATACCTGTGGCATCTTCATCGGTGAGCCCGACGTGATCTGGTACACCATATTGTAAACTGTGAGTCTGTTCCTTTTTGTGATTTCATATATCATTGTCTTATTTTAATTTCTTTTTTTTTACATTGTGACATTTTTTTTCCGTGTTTTTGGGTTCATATATATATTTGCCACTCGTTCACCTTTCGTACTTGGTATATTACTATGACTGAACAGACACCTAAAGTATTTAAGTTAAAGACTGTGTCCCCACCCTCTTTCCAACTTATGCCTTTCTGGCCAGACAACATCGAAGCCTGGTTTTGTTATGCAGAAGCCGACTTCTACGAGCACGGTGTGAACGATGCACGTGCACAATTCCTCGCAGTAGTCAAGGCACTACCGCGCGAATTCAACAGGTACGTAACACCTAGTATGTTTACTAGTGCTGTTTCTGATCCATACCAAACACTGAAACAGGCCATCCTTAAACGCGGAGATCTAACCGATCGACAAAGGTTAGACCAACTTCTTAACAACATCGACCTGCAACACGGTTCTGCCACAGACATGTTGCAAAGAATGCGAGAAGTCATTGGCCAAAGAACCTTCGATGACGGCCTATTCAAGCAACTTTTCTTATCCAAACTTCCTCAACAGGTGCAAGCTGTTTTGGTCTCGTTCCAAAACAACGCCGTAGACGAACTAGCTGCATCTGCCGACCGCATTCTCGAGATCACTAGATCTTCTAACGCCGAGGTTTTTTCAGTCAAAGAAAAGCCTCAAACCACCCAGAATGACATAACACAGTTGTGTCATACACTTACGCGCTATCTCAAACTCGGTAACGACCGCAAACGATCACTTACATCGCGGAGAAGCACATCACGTAGGCGATCCGTATCTAGAACTCGAGAGACGGATAATCCTGATTGGTGCTGGTACCATAACCAGTACGGAAAGTCTGCCAGAAATTGCAGAAAACCCTGCAATTTCCCCAGCGCGAAATCCGTCGACGCGAAGAACGCTTCGGGAAACTCTCAAGCCGGCACGCGTTAACGGCGACCGTAGCCGGCGAACATAGCCGTCTTTTATATGTCACTGATGTGATAACGAGAGTTCGCTACCTCGTAGATACTGGCGCAGAGGTTAGTGTTCTCCCAGCGAATTCCGACGACAGGCTACACGAGCCTGTTTTAAATCTACAGGCGGCAGACGGAAAGCCTATCGCTACTTATGGCCAAAGGTATGTTTATCTTAACGCGGGTTTACGCAAACCCATTCACTGGATTTTTGTTGTTGCAGATGTTTCTATGCCAATCATTGGTATGGACCTTCTACAACACCACAACTTAATTATCGATACGCGCAAACGGAGGTTAGTAGACGGAAACACTAATTTATCTGTTTGCCTGACTTCTTTTTCTGGTTGCAGGTTATCCCCAGTCACTATTAAGCACACTATAGACCCCTTCTACCAACCACTACTCGATAAGTATTCTGGCATTTACCAATCGCAACCGATATTGCCGTGTGTAACTAGCAATGTTACACATCACATCACGACTACAGGACCACCTGTATTCTCGAAAGCACGCCGACTGGCCCCCGAAAAGTTAAGGTTGGCGAAAAAAGAATTCGACCATATGATAAAATTAGGGATCATACGACCATCAAATAGCCCATGGGCATCTCCGTTGCACATGGTCCCTAAAAAGGACAGCAACGATTGGCGTCCAACTGGTGACTATCGGAGATTGAAGGCAAACACCGTTCCCGATCGTTACCCGTTGCCCCACATTCACGATTTGACAGCTACCTTGAAAGGTGCAACTGTCTTTTCAAAAATTGACTTGGTAAAAGCTTATAACCAAATTCCTATGGCCACTGAAGACATTCCAAAAACCGCTATTATAACGCCCTTCGGACTCTATGAATTTTTGCGAATGCCTTTCGGTCTGAGAAACGCGGCACAGACTTTCCAAAGGTTCATAGATGACGATTTTCGAGGTCTCAACTTCGTACATGCATACGTTGATGACTGTCTAATAGCGAGTCCGGACAGAGAATCACATCTCCAGCATCTGAACATTGTTTTCGACCGACTACAAAAACATGGGATTACCGTAAACATTCAGAAATGCCAAATCGGCACCGAATCCTTAGACTTCTTAGGACACACTATAGATGCGCATGGCATTCGACCCCTTAGAACGGAAGTGGCGGCCATTCTGGATTACCCAGAACCGACCACCATCAAGCAATTGCGCACGTTTAACGGTCTGGTAAGTTTTTATAGACGATTCATACCGAAATGCGCGTTACTTATGAAACCCCTTACCGACCAACTTCGTGGAAATGCGAAATTCATTAATCTAGATGACACTACCCGAAAAGCATTCTCCACGGTTAAGGAACATATCGCCCGAGCAGCAATGCTTGCTCATCAGGACCCTAAAGTGCCCATTAGCATCTCAGTAGACGCATCCGACTCAGCAATCGGAGCAGTCTTACAACAATGGGTTAACCACTCTTGGCAACCTTTGGCATTTTTCTCTAGACGGTTGCTAGACACTGAATCGAGGTACAGCACATTCGGTAGGGAACTCCTAGCTATGTATTGTGCTGTCCGGCATTTTCAACACTATATCGAAGGCCGTGAATTTATCATTTTTACCGACCATAAACCACTTGCCTTCTCCTTAAGCTCTTCTTCGGAAAAGTACTCACCACGTGAGTCTCGACAACTGGACTACATTTCACAGTTTACTTCAGATATTCGACACATTTCTGGAGCAAACAATGTAGTCGCAGACGCCTTGTCTCGTATAAATTCCTTGAACAGTTCCCAAGGAATCGACCTTTTAAAACTCGCCCAACTTCAAAAAGAAGACAGTGATCTTCAGCACGAGTTGGCCTCAACAACACTTAAACTGCGCATTAAACAGATGGGAACAGGTAACGAAACCTTACTTTGTGACACATCTACAGGTAGGGATCGCCCAATCGTGCCGAAACAATATCGACGCAACGTCTTCGATACGTTGCACAGACTTTCTCATCCAGGTGTTCGTGCAACCATCAAGCTTATAGCAGAACGGTTTTGCTGGCCTGGTATGAATAAAGATGTGAGGGAGTGGGCACGTTCCTGTGTAAGCTGCCAGAAATCTAAGGTTATTAGGCATAACAAATGTCCCCTAGGCTCGTTTAAAACTCCCGATGCTCGCTTCGATCATGTTCATTTGGATTTGGTAGGACCTTTACCAGATTCGAATGGATATTCTTATCTTTTAACATGCGTAGACCGTTTTACTCGATGGCCAGAAGCAGTACCCATCAGAGATATTACTGCTGAAACAGTGGCCCGCGCCTTCGTCGAGAGGTGGGTAGCAAACTTCGGCGGCCCAACAACCATTACTACAGACCGTGGAAGTCAGTTTGAATCTGAACTGTTCCGTTGTCTTACCATGAAACTAGGAATCACTCGCTTTCGAACGACGGCCTACCACCCACAAGCAAACGGGTTAGTAGAACGTTTTCACCGACAACTAAAAGCGTCACTATCAGCCTCAAACATTTCTCAGTGGACTGACGCTCTTCCACTCGTCTTACTAGGCATACGCAAGGCAGTGAAATCTGACATTGGATACACTGCATCCCGACTCGTTTATGGTACGACCCTTCGACTTCCAGGAGAGTTCGTGGATCCTTCATCCTCTTCGATGGACATGGATCTAACCTCCTACGCGAACAGGCTTACAAACGCAATGCGTTCAGTCAAACCTGTTTCCACTCGACCACAATCAACTGATGTTTTCGTTCAACCTGACTTACTACATAGTACACACGTTTTCGTGCGTCGAGACTCGCATCGACGACCTCTCGAATCAACATATGAAGGACCTTTCAAAGTTCTTCAACGCGAATCTAAGTACTATATAATAGATAAAAACGGAACCAACGAAAGCATCAGCATCGATCGCCTCAAAGCAGCGTATTTAGAAGGAAATCCTATTCACGTCGATTTTCCTTCAATACAATCGCACGACACAACTCCTGCGCTTATAATGCCTCAATCGACAGCAGACACACACGTTGATACTGCGACGGTATCCGAAAATAAACTCAAAACAACGCGTTCTGGAAGAAGAGTAAGATTTCCAGAACACTTGAACGATTACTGAACGTAAGATACAAGTTAACATTTTTCATCCGCTCGAATTTCCTTTTGTACTACATATAATTTTTTTAAAAAAAAAAACCTGAATTTAATATGCTTATATATTATTTTTTTTTATTTCGAAAAAGAAAAAAAACAAAAAAATAACGATATTATAAAAATCTTATTTTACGCTACT